ATCCACGGGGGACTTTGCTCCTTCTCAGGCTCCTCAAACCTGGATGTTGTCCTCCCAGCTCTCGCCACGTGGCCCTCCTCCACCTCCTCTCCTGACAGCAGGAAGTGTGACTCCACCTCCACGGCTCCAACCCGGTCTGCCTCTCTCACTCCATCCTGACCCGAGCTTACTGAGTGTGGTTAAAATGATGCTTCAGTCATCAGATGGCTTTACATCAAATATAATAAACATTTACCAGAAATCCACAGGAATAGAAACAACATCCTGAGATCAGACCTGGACAGAAAATGTCGTAAACAATAATAAAAACAGATTTCACAAAGTTTCTTTGAACCACAGTTATTTAAATTTAAATGACGTAAAAACTCTTCTTCTGTTGTTTTAAATGTGCGTTATAAATACAAAGGGTTTCACATCAAAGGTTCATTTTACTCAGCAACTTCCACACATAACTCATCTTTCAGTTATACTTTTGTCACACGGGGTGTAGAGGTACTTTCCCCCGTGGGCTGTGACTCTGAGCGCTGCCTCATTCAGAGCATCTCTCTGTCGGACACGCAGCGTGGATAAACTCGGTGTGATCGGCGAGCTGAGGCTTTAAAGGGATTTAAAATGTTCATCGTGGCTTTTCTGCTGCTGTGGGCTCCGGGACTAACGGAGAGCGCGGGTGAGTCCCCGTTTCTCACACCGGGCGGGTTAAAGCAGGCTGTGCCGTTAGTCCTGCGTGTCTGTGGGTCGCTTTGTTTTATTGAGAAACAAAGAGAGTGAACCTGAGCCGGGCACGAGCCTGAGGCACGTGCTCAGCCAACGAGAGCCCGGAGTTTACCGACAGGTGTTGTGCCAAAACGGATTTCCAAAGTTTCTGTGTATTTTTTATCTGTAATCTTTACGTAAGTTGGTAAACAGACTTCGGTGAACAGCGTTTACAAATAGGTTAAATATAGAATTTAAAAATATCTGTTTTTCAAGTTTACAGCTCTGTGTTATTGTACTGACATAACCAACCGCTCCTTTATCGCCACTTAAAATATTTTTACAGAACTATCGTAATATTTGCTCGCAGTTGTGCTGTCCTGTTGGTCAGCTTACTCTGACTAAACACATGTTTGATGTTAATGAGATTTTTTTTAACTGCATAAATAAAGGTTATATAAAAGTCGCTGCCAAAAACTGATTGCGGCTTCTAGCGTGTTACACGAATGTTGTTTGTGGCTCAGTGTGACTTTGTTGTGTCGGACAGAGTCCACACGTGTGACGGTTACCGTGGAGAAGCAGCGGTTAGTCTTTGTGCGCGTGGTAACACGTGGTTAACGGAAACTCATTCAGCATCAGCTGCACGCGCACAGACACGTCCGTTTGGTTTCGCGCCTTTATTTAATTTATTTTTATCGATTTGTTCATCGATAAAGTTCAGATCAGATGAATATTC